ACTCGTTTGTGCACATAATAATATATTTTTTAAATTTAAGGTAACTTGTTAGCGCACAAAATTGTGAATAAAAAGAAAACCAGCTTGTATATACAATTTTGGGTTTACAGGGTATCTGCACACTCTTAAAGTAAAATGTTTATTTTTAATCCTAGTTTTCAATCAGTTTTTATTTATCAGTAATGTTATAATCGCGATTACCAGAATTATTTATTATATTTATTTTATTTTTATACTTTTATTAGAATAATAATTTGATTGTAAACATTTTTTGTTTTAATCGACAAAATTGTAAATAATGGCTTGTTAAGGCAGTTATGCCAAATTAAATAGATTAAACAACATTTTTAAACCTGCCAGTCTATGACACCAGAATATAATTAGACAGAAAGTCCTAAGTCTTTATAAAAGGTGAAGGAAACTGTTGTTTGAGTATAATAATTTTTTACCATCAGTAATGACCAATTTGAAAATTTGGAGAGGTACGTATGTAACATTATACATGATATTTGTCTCTGAAAAAAGGTTTTTGTGTTCGAAAATTGTGCGCAAATGAGTTGTAAAAAAAGTAAATGGTCGCAAACGAGTTGTAGCCATCACTATAACTATTTTTTATAGGAATTGTTGATATTTTAACCAACAAAAAATAATTAAAAACTATAATAATGTTTAAGTTTAACCCTAGAATTTTGATGTGGTAAATAATAAAATAACAATCAATCTTCCAGTTATTGATTTTAGATAATTGATGGATATGTTGAGATAATAACATGATGTAATCAATGAGATAATCTTAGATTACTGATTAGTTATTCATGAATCAATATTTTAAATAAAGCATTAAGTAAAAAACAAATGTTACTACCAAGAACAATTTTACTTTGAAACATAAATTATATAATTCATCTACTATCGTTTTCTTTTGTCTAATTTGTATGCGTATTTAGATATTATCGCTAAATAAATATCATACCACTTATCCCTGTTCTCTACAGTTTTCTTCCATTAGATATAAGGCTCTATTACCATAATAATATTAKTTTCCTTGACATAGTCTTTCTACCTTAACATAAGCTTCTCTAAAGGTTTTATTTCTCTTCAATTACTAGTTTAAAAAAATATTTTTGTATATACCTTGCAATACCAGTATTCTATTAAGAATCTGTTGAACTATATTGGACATTTGAAATTGTAACTATTGTTCATTATTATGAAGTAATCTCCTACTTACTTAAGGAATAATACCTAATATCGAGCTATATATTTTCCAGGGCACTTTCTAACAAATTTCAAAAATCTTTATTCTTTCTCCTCAATGGTCACATCTCAGAACCAATTAATTGATTGTTTTAATGCCATGTACGTCCTCATTTAAAGGCTTTTTTTTGTAAGAAGTCCTTCATTTGGGAACTTTTAAGTTTATACTCTAAGTACTCTGATTGTATTCTTGACAATATTACTGTTTTTATATAATTTTGTCTAAATAATCATCTCCAAAATTTTTTATTTGGTTCATTAAATTTAATGTTGTTTTTCTAGATATGGTTTCAATTCCTATGGCTAACAACTAGATATTCAACTTTCCTTGTGGGTTTTATGAATTTTCTCTTAATTTTTTCACTATTTCTATATCTAATGATGTAATTTTAATATATGAACATTTTTGAACCTATTATCTATTGTTCCAGAGTAATAACTTAAGTTTGATCCAATTCATCAATATATATGTRTATATGTATATATTATAAATATATAAATATTAATTATTAATCTTAAGTAATAATTTATTTGCATTRAATTAACAAAAAGTAAATTTAAATGCTACTTACTCGTCCTTTAGGGTTTTTATCAGGGTGATTAGCTTGGGCAAGTTTATAATAGGCTTTTCTAGTAGTGGCTTCATCATAATGATGTCCTCGTTCTAAGCCTAGAGACACATATGCATCATCTATAGACATGGCAGGTGGCTTTTTTTCTACTTCATTTTTCCAAGCTTCTAGTACATCTTTCAAAAGTGTTATCTAAAAGTAAATATAAATAAAAATGAACACAATATTATTATTATTAAAGTTAGCTATTGCTTAAAAATTCTAAGAATATAATCCTACTGGATCATTAATTGGCCAGTCTGGAAACCTTTGAACATCACACAAATGCCTTAAATAGAATATATTACAAAATAATTCTGATTGCAGCTGTGGGTAACGCACAACAGGTATAGCACAATATTGGTAGTATGCTTTATTATTTCCACGAAGCTTGGGTGTAAAATCAGCAATATGACATGCAATTTTTTCAATTAACATTCGTCTCATTTCAGCATTCCAAATAGCTTCTGGAGTATCAAATTCTCCTAAAAATATTTGAGCAAATTTTTCAGGGCCATGGTTTTCCAAATAAAAGACCATTGCTTCTGGCAGTAAAGGTCCAAGTACACTTCTTTGCATAAGTTCTCCACTTTGCACCTATTAAATGTTAAATCAATATTATAAATGCTATAAAAACATTTAACTACATAATATTCTTACCTCTTCATTTCGAAAAGCTTGACAAGTATGGGTAAGCCTTAAAAATTTAGCAATTGGCAAAATATTTGAACCTGTATACATCAGCAAAAAGAAAAATACTCCAGTCATGTACAACTTAGCYGCATTTGGGTTGTCTGATGCAATTTCACACAGTAAATATGCAACTTTTTCAACGAGAATAGGATCGAATGTTAAAAGAAGTTGAACTACATGAGGCAGATGAAGAGAATCAGTTAAAGCTCTCCTGATACGTGCAATTGGCCAAATAATCGCTCCATCATTATCTCTAATATAAAAACGATTATAGAATTATTATCAAAGTTTTCATGTGTTCAAAAAAAAAACATCAATAATCTTGACAGGGTCAAATATATCAGTTAAAAAAATTCTAAAATCTATAGTAATAAAGCATTAGCTAGAGTCAAAATTTAACATCTTGCAATTTGAATAAAGGTAGTTGAATTAAAAATATTTATAATTTAAATCATTGTAATAAACTAGAATATAAAACTTAATAATACTATTATGTTTGAAAATTGGTGTTAAAATTATTACCGGCTGGGATAATATTGACACATTTTTATCAACATAGAAAGTATAAGAGACGCTAGGTCAGTTTCATTCATATAACTTTGATCTTTTGCTAATACTGTCCACTTGAACTGACTTAACTTAAAAAGAGGTTTCCATCCCTCTAGTCCAGGAGTCCAACATTTTGACATAGGTTTTAATATACCTTGTTTGTATAAATCTTTCATCTAATAAATTCAAAATAATTTAATACAAAACATAAGATGATTTGTTATTGTTTATACCTCTTGAAAAGTAATAGGACCATTGGATTTATCACCATTTCCAAGTCCATAATACCACTGTTTTTCATTATCGAGTAACATATCTTGGCCAGCCTCTATCACATTTGTTTGTGTAGGAACAACAGCTCTTGTTGTATGTAAATGTGCTAATGTTAGCAAATCGACCAGAACAGTTACACCTTTTGATTCAATTATATCTTTAACATTCTGTTTATTTAGTACAAGTTTGTTAAGAAATAAGAGCAACCTGTCTCTTTCAAGTTTTTCGACAGTCTAAAAATAATAATAATAATAAATTATAATGGAAATTGTATAAAATTAATACTGATAATTATAGTATTTAACAGGTTTCATAGTTTAAATATTTAAAAATTCTTTGATAAAATAAAAACATTTTTATTTTACTGAAGGAAAGCATATTTCCGATCAATAATTAAACTGTATGGGTACATTAACTGAATAGCATTACAGATATAATTGGGTATAAAAATGTAATTTTTATTTATTCGAAATGATTTACCTTTTCTAATTTTACAAGAATATATTTGGTATCAGTAAATGGTCCGATTTCCTCAAAATATTGTCCATAAATCACAGTCATTGCTTGAAGACATAAACATTTCATATCTATTTTTAAAGCTAATAAAAATCGATGGTACAGATCATAAAAAAATCGGAATCTGCAAATATTTGAACATTTATATAGCTTGGATAATATATACATTTTTTTATTTCTTACGGATTTTTTATTGCAAAATCTATACTTCCGTCTAAAAGTAATCTTAAGTAATAACCATCAATACAAACTTCATCTTGTAAACTAGGGTATTGCACTTCAAATTCATCATGATTCCATGCAATTAAACTATTTGTGGTAAGTTGGCGATCTGAATTAAATGCTTGAATTTCTTTTTTCAAAGCATCATGGAGTTCTTCTCGAGTCTATCATAAAGTTAACCAAAAAATAAAAAAAATATTGAATTATATAGAAAAATGATAATCTATAAATAATGAAATCTAACACAATAAGCAAATGTGATATTATGGAATAAAATCAGACATGAATAAGAAAACACAATTAATAGGCCCCACAGACTTGTCTCCGTTATACAAATATAATATACAACATAACAAATCAACACAGCAGAATTAACTTTGGRTTTTTAACTTTAATATGGGTAAATTGACCTATTATTAAATACATTACCTGGGTGTGGTATTGGCTTTAAATAATATTTAAATGTTAAAGTGAATAACTATAAAAAGCATTTTTAAATTGTTATATTCTACACATTTAGTAAATTACAGCAATTCATATTAAAATTTAAACAAAAATTAAAAGCCTCTGAGATTCTCTAGATCAGTGGTTTCCAAAATYGCGACATATTATTATTAGACATTATAAGTCACGGCTAATTTTGAATAAATATTGTCTAAATATAAATATAATCATTTTATAATGCTTTTTTTAATAAAAAAAGTCCAAGTTGTGGTGGCACACACACCTTTCAAATTTCACGGCCCACCCTTTGAGAAACACTGCTCTAGATAATATTTGTGCCTTTAAGTTTGATAATAGGTCACTTCACTTTAATATTAARGCAAACATGAAATTCCTAAATACATTGAATGTTTTTGTAAGACAAATATATGAATTCAATATTCTTTTAATGACATTAAGGAGATGCATGCCAAGGGTTACTGTAATTGTTTATTAATATGTCATAGTTATTTTGAACCTTTACTGAAGCTTGTTACAGAAGCATATATAAAAGAAGTTATACAATTTTTGGAGTACAATATTTTAATTTGTTGAATTTTATTTTGACATTTAATTTGAATTGGCATGTTCAAGGGTATTACCAAAATGGTTATGGTAAATACATATATGTCATATCTGCAAAATATCTGCTTCTCACAGAATTTTAAATTAATGTTAATAAAATAAATAGTGCATACACATAGTAGCATGCAAGTAAAAATGGTAAAATATTTAACACACAGTGTTAATGAGTACAATTTATTGGATTCAGATTTCWGAGTGTTAGACATCTTATTGTTGACGCTTATAAATTGATATAAGGACTTTTCTGGAGGCCACATCTGTGAAGAATTTCTAGACACGCTTATGTAAATACTAGGGTACAACAGTAGATTTGTTCAATTATAGAGACTGATAAGCCAAATCAGACTTGGATTAGTTATTTTAAATTAAAATAAATCACATATTTTTTTTTTAAAGTTTATTCTTATATATTATATCTGAGCTAGAATATAATTCATAATAATGTATACAGTGATAATTAAAACAGTACCTGATGATTCCATAATAAACTAGGGGAAGTATGGTTTTTATTGAACTTGTAATAAAATAATTTCCAATTTGCTTGACTTTTAATTCTTTCTCTACGTCTTCTTAATACAATTGGACGGACTTGCAATTTGTCTTCTTTTCTTTCCAAACCTAATGATGCTCCCCAGTGACCCAAAGCAATTTCTACTTCTTTCTCTAAAGTGCGAAGTTTTCTTTCTAGCGCTGCCAAGTGGGGATTTCGTTGATTTTTTGTTGCATGATCTTGAGCAAGTTTTAGATTATCTCTAGTAATTAAATAATCTTCATTTTCATCCATTTCTACAGATTCACTTGATTCCAAAAATCTTATTAAACCTGATGGCTAAATAAATAAATATTTAATATTAATACAATTTTCCAAAAAAGTGTTTGGGAATCATATCAAATTTACCATTAGTCGGGATAATAAGTCCATAGCAATTGTATTATTAGTGACCCACAATCCAACCAAGTGCCTGGAAAGCTGTCTATGTACAAGCATACGTCTATTATCATCACGAGTAAATAACGCTGTTAATAAATGACTAGGTAATGCTGCTTCAGCTAATGCTAATTCTTGCATTCGTCCAGATATTTCAGCATCACCTTCTTCTATTATTGCTCTCATAACTAACCCTGCACCTTTCACCACAGTTAATGACGGATGCTACAGAATAAAATTAAACAATTTTATTCGGTTTTTGAGATTAAGTAGTTATATAATTATTTAAATTTTAACTTCATATTGTACTATTAATTATTCATAGTCGATAATACAAATAGAAATATTAATTACAATATTTAAAAATACAAATGAAATATTAKATAATCAAAAATCATAAARAATTTGTTGCTTATTCATGTACTTAAGGCAATTCGATCCTGTCCCTGTTTTCTACCAAAAAATATATATCCTATTCTAACTATTCCATTTATCCTAATCATTAGATAAAACTTCTAAAAAAAATATTCGAATTATTCAAGGAGCATTCTTGAAAATATTTTCCACTTTTTTTTAAAACTGCACTCCTTGAACCCTTAAAATGAGATTTTTAATATTAAAAATTAAAAATGTTGATAATATATTATGTCTAAAAATTTGTTTAAACAATKTAACTGTCGCTTTCAAATAAATTGTATGGCAAATTGAAATATTTTTTTCAAAATTTTATCAGATAAATAGTAAATAGAAAATATGATTTGAAAAAGATTGATACTTTTGACCAAAAAAAAAAAAAATAGTTAATATTTGTGTGATAAATTAATGACATGTATCACTAATGAGTAATAACCACTTACTATGCACACATTTATACAACCCACATAGAAAATTGCCTATAATGAACTCCTTATAAATTAGTCGATATTGAATCTCTTTAATTATAAATTATGATTAAAAATGTATGTTTATAGTTAATTTTTTAAATTATTAAAAAGTATTTTTATTTATCATCGTTAAAATTTCAAGATTCAGTATACATATTTCTTTATAATAATTATTTTATTTTTGAGAAATAAAGCTGAGGCACTATTYAGATATAGACATTAACCTTTAAATATGAAATTATGTACCTGAAAAAGTTGAAATAAATATCTGCCTCGTTTTGCCACCAATGCTAATAATGTATCAAAATGTGTACCATCAGTTGTTTCACTATAGGGCACACAAAGTGCAAAAGTAAGGATATCCAGCATAGCAGATACCACTAACGCACCTGTTCCACGTTTCTTAGAAAAAAAAAGTAAGTTATGTTAAACTTAGATTAAGACTCTACAGATATGAAACTTACTATATGCTCCACCCACATATCAAGCAATGATTCTAAAAAACTAGAAGTAGCCAAAAGGGACGATTTATTGAGCTGTTCTTGCCGTATATCACTGTCACGATGCATAGGTTGCATAAGAGTACATATCATATCTAAAGCAGCATGAGTTATAGCTTCATGATCTCTTTTTAATGCTCGAGTCACTTTTCTTCCAAGTTTGTCTTTAAGCCTAAAAAATAAATAAATGTTAATTTTGTAATAAACATTTATACCTTATAGATTTTAATATATTGGTACTTGTTTTGTATACTTTCTATAACAGAATAATGATATTTGCTCTTCAGTTTTAGGAGTGAATCGACTTGAGTTGTAAACACAAAATTGGCTTAATCAGAGCTATAGGTATAATTTTAAAATCTTATTACATTTTTGTTTTGTTTCGTATGGCCCTATGTCCGGGAGTGGGCACGAAAGCCTAGTTATTAAATTTGAATATTTTTTTTACAAGTATTTTCAGGAAACAAAATACTAAATTTCTATTCTTTTTTTTGCCGCAAGTAGAATTGAAAAATATTTGCAGGCTAATGAGTGATAAAGTGTACCCTGATTTTTGGGACACAGGTAGATATAAATATTTACTTATACAGTAGAAGTTATTTATCAGGAATATGGATAATTGATGAAGTTGTGTTATTGAAACAAAATATCTAGGAATGGGCTTACTACAAGTAGAAACAACTGCTTATTAGAAATAGGTTAATTGACACATTTCACTATGGTTCAAAAGTGTTTCTAATAAATGACTTCTACAGTTTTTGTGACTTATTATTTTATTCTTATTATTTCATATTTTTTTTTCATTCTCTAACTAAATTACTTATACCAAATAACTATGTAAATTATGTGTTATATTTTATTATATTTGATAAAAGTGTTTACCCGTTGATTAATATAAATAATAGATATTTAGCCTATGAAGCATCTGCTGCATACATGCGTCTATCTAAAATTACACCCTAAAAGTGTATGACTATATTATTGTATAATACAATGTTGATGTTGAAAAGTATAAGAAAATATTTTAACTCCTAATATTAGAATGATAATGATAATATAAAATACAGCATGTAGAAAAGAAATATAATTTTATACTACATACTCTGGTAACATGATAAAAGTAGAAAAGCCTGCTTTAGTAGCAAATAATCTTCTTAAAGCATGAAATTGGGCCTCTAGTTCATGAACAGCAATCTCGTTCTGATCACCTTGATGAGCAATTATTGATGTAAGAGCCATGACTATTAATTTTTCTTTATTTTCAGTAAATAGTTTCTATAAATTAAGAAAATTGACATTTCAATTCAATGTTAGATTATGGAAATATATTAATTTTCAAATGAATTATCTCATAACTGCAATTAAATTAATTACCAAACACAAAAATTATTTAACATAATCAAGACATAAACTTATAATTAATTATTTWACTAGATAAATAAAAAACCTAATATCATACAATATTTTTAAAGCTTWATTCAYTAAAACAAGTAACAAACTAGTAATTTGATTATATCATATTATTATATAATAAAAATATAATAAGAAAAAATATAATTTTGTAGTCTCACAGTAGACCTAACATTACATTTTAATTTATTAAGTCATAATCAATTTATTTGTTAAATGAAATAAACATTTTTAAAGAAATTTAGCTAGTTTTTACATTTAGTAGTAATAAGCTCAGTTTTCATTACATTGTTCACAAGCTTAATAATTAAATTTAAATTTCTTGTAATTAGAAAAAAAAATGTAACTATATGACGTAAGGTCTAATAAATAAAATAAAAAATGCAAACTACATAATTGTATGCAATATTTTCCAAAGTAAAAATATGATATAAAAATTAAAATGTCGTTTTTAGAAATGATAGTAAATAAGTTATATAATGTAAAATATTGTTTTTATTTATAGCTGTATAACTTACATCTTCAGAAACAGAATGAATTAAGCCACTGTACTCAATATTAGCATTAAATCTATCCAAAACTTCAGCAAATGACTTTCTAGGTGGAGGTTCTTTAATACATTTTAAATGGTTAGATTCAATCTAAACAATAAAACAAAATACATTTATAACAAACAATACTTAGAAAATTGAATAAGCTACCTTACTTCTTGATCAGGCGATACATTAAAAGGTATAAGTCTTTTATCTCGAGGAGTAGGAGAAAGTTTTACATGTATATGATGATTTCCAGATGATCTTACACTATCTAATAAAGTAGCCAGAAGGGAATCTCTATAAATTTAATAATTAWTATTAGTATGTAAAACATTTATTAGGTGATTTTACCAAGTACCTATTGGTAGCAGTGTATGAACGACATGATGAATCTGCATACTCAATACAGAATTGTTGTGCATCAACTGGATCTCGTATTAAAGCAAAAACAGATGACAATGGTCTTAATGTGACAACCGTATATGTCTGTGGATCTCTCTCCAGTAAACAAACTTCACTTAAGCAAAGTAATCTCCGTTGTGGACATTCTTGATGTCTAGGAACACCAATTTTTTTTACTTGAAACTCGCAGACAGATGTAACATGTTCATCTGAACTATATCGCCCTAGTCTTTTGGTCAAAAAATCGTCATGCGTTATACTGTGTCGGAAAAATTCTATAGATATTTGCAAGTATATCATAGCTCTTTCTTTGACTTTTTGAAATATTTCTTCTCTATTTGAGCTGATGAATAAATGCTAAACAATTTTACCCTATTAATAACATAAATAATAAAACCAAAATGTTTGTATTTATACCATTCTTCCATAAGGTCGTGATATAATAACAAAACCACCTGGGATATCTTCAACATGTTGAATAGCTTCAATGTCCTTGTAACGATAACTAGCAAGAACTTGAGCAGTTGCAGTATCTAATTGATCAATAGAAATAGGAGTGACATTTATAGTCACTGGAAGTCGAGTATCAGACCAATGATACTTAAGAGCTTCATAATTCTATAATCATTTAATATTCACAATCAATAATTACAAATCTAAATTTTTAAAGAGGCAATTATAATCTTTTGCTTACATATATTTCTTCTTGACCACGTTCAGAAAATTGAAGTCTAAATTTGAGAGCATMAGTTAATAAATTTGAACGAAAATCAGTTGAAAATTTAAATTTATCAAGTTTATTTTTGTCTCGAACAGATAACACAAAACCACCTGCATTTTGTGGATCCACTTGTATAGATATTATTTGGTTATATGAGTATCGATTGGTTATTTCTAAGCTATTTGGATTATAAGTAGTGATACCATGAGTACCAATACTAAATATTCTTTTATATCTGAAAAATTATAGAATATTAGAAGTGGAATAAACAAAATATATTGCATTACAACTGTTACATACTTGCCCCTCCAAGAGTGTTTCGTTACAAAGTAACAAACAACATCTGTGTTATTTGGGATGGGTATCATATTATCATCTAAAACAGACAAATGTATTGTAATAAACAGAAGATGTCATAAAATAATTATCAAGTTATTATATACACATCCATACAGGGTGTTCAATTCACACAATGGTCATTAATTCATTTATAATGTAGTTAGTCTTTTTTTTTAGACTTAACATACAAAAAATTACAAAAGTATATTTTATACCTAAATTAGTAGTTGTATTGAAAATATGTTACCAATGTGGTACTAAAATTGATACAATATGGTTATAAAAAGTAAATAAAAGTGTAGATATATAAGAAAATAATGGATAATGCATACAATTCAAATATAATAGGTAGGTACATACCTAATTTATATTCAATACTTGAAACGAAAAAAATTACAGTATATTTAAACTAAAGATTATTTACATTATTATTTATTTGTAGATAAAATGTATTATGAATTATATGCTTATTATTATAAATGAGTACTTTTAACTATTCTACTAAAAGTATCTACCTAATTTTTAAAACAAAAAACTAACTGTAAAAACAATAACAAAAGAAATTGACTATTCTTTTAGAGTTGGGATCATTTTAATATGCTGCTTAATTAAGTTTTTATATTGTTTTACTTATTTGATAAAATAAAATTTTAGTGGTAATCTATTATTTTGTGTTAAATAAAGATTTTAAAGTAATATACAATAAACATTCAAAATGTTTAAAATCAAAAACTTTGAGCATAGTTTACAAAAACAATAATTTTTAATTACATAACAATTAATCATAAATCACTATTTAGTTCAATTGGTGTGTAGATTATATCTGATATCTTAAACAGAAATTTAAATYCAATAAAAATAAAATTTAAAAAGAACCATCCAATATGCTGAATGGAACAAAAACTGATATAGTTCAATCTACCTAATCAATTGCAYACAAAAGAACATMAAAAAAAACATAAAACTAAATACAAATAAATTGTCATACTTCCTGGCATTGAAATGTTTTGAGAGTACAGCTTCCTAAATCATTGCAGAGCAAAATATTAACTCCTAATTAAAATATGTCAAAAACAAATTTGACAAAGGTTTTTGCTTGAAAAACGTTGAATAGTACAATAGTTGTTAGCACTTGACAGTTCGTAGCTTCATTTTAAGTTAATATTAATTTTTTTTATCAAGATATAAACTTTTAGGCGACAGTACACGACGATTGCTGATTGCTGATTGATCATTGATAATAATATTTCAATGCTACCAGACCACCAGACAGTAAAATAAACATTTTTATCACAGAAAAATAAACAATTATCAGGAAGATCCGTGCGTTATCATTATTGTCACGATATTTCATGCAAGAAAAAAATTCAGGCAAGCGACGAATGTGTCAAAAACATAGATAAGTAGGTATTAGTTAATTTAAAATTTAAATGTTGTTTTTTTCTATAAATTAGGCAATTAGGCTTGTGAGTTGTGGACGTTGTGGTGTTGTGGATAACGTGGATAGTGGATTCGTCCTCTCCATCTGCTTGTGCTTGAAGTATTTTTTTAATGGCAGTTGTTAATGTTGTTATTTTCACGTCCATATTGTCACAGAGCAAGGATATTACCTATAGGATATGATATTGTATTCTATTTTGATATTATGTACAAAAGTTGTTAAATATAAATTATAAGGCATCTTAAGACAATRCTCTGTCAGCAGCTGCAAGCTATAATTATTTAGGTCTTTAAAGTGCATTTTTTGCTTCTTAAAATACTCTTGCATGCGGGCGTCCACGTCTCCATTTCGATTGTGTATATATTTATATAACTGTAGTACAACAACTCCAACATAAATTTTAAGCTGTATTTAGTCTAGAATAAATGATAATTTCCGTAGGTATGTCCGTTTCGGTGATCGGCGTCCCTTTCTTTTTTGAACTATTTTGATTGAGATCGACACTTCACCAGCGGCGGATTAAATATTATATAGTTAGACAAAATCGGTCAAGTTTTATTTGAGTAGCCAGTAGGTATACAAATTGCAATCATAGATAATCAATTCATATTTCTGTAAGGTATAATTCTTTATTTAAAGCTACGTATGCAATGATTTGATGCATAGGTACTTTTATAYTTTCTACCCRAGTAACCAATAAGACAATAACAATCATTTATGTTTAAAATAATACTAATTTCTTCTAATTATTTCATATTATTTCTATTATTTGTAAAATGCAATCGATAACAATCATTAATAAACAAAAACATTTTCTATTTCCAACGTAAATCTTAAAATTGATGTAATATACCTAACCTAAGGTTAGTAACCTTGTATGAGTAAATTTTTAAAACGCAATTTTTAAAAATATTTTCTTAGTAATCCCTAAATCCCTTACAAGGTAGTACCATTGATTATAGAATAAAGAATAAACTAAAATATTATATCTATATGCATTGGAGTAGGATGAATGGATGAAATGGAAAGTTTTGGATCTCCCCCCTTAAATTGTACATGTGAAAGCTCTTCCATACAGGCGATTCGTAGTACATGATCCTCTCAAGTTTCAAGTATCTCCGAAAATTTTATAAATTACACAATAGATAACCTGCAGCACTCTATTATAACATTATCGTTATTTTTATTATCAATTATTATCATTAACTGATAACACGTTAATTTTGTCCACGATTTAAGATATACAGGTTACTCAACGACCCTATGCACATTGCACATACACACCGTAAATGGTGCGCTTAAATGTTGGATTTAAACAGCTGATCAACTATGCGAGAAAAGCTACTATAACGCTCTAAGCGTGGATAAAATCAACCAATAACCTGATAGTAAACATTTTCAAACTAATATTTTAGGCGGGCTTTAGAATATTTTGTAATTTGTATGTATAATATTTATTATATAAATATAGAATTTATAATTATCAGATATTAATGTTTATATTTTTTATTATACACTTCCTGATTCCTATATCCTATACCAACATTTATGTTTATTATTTAGATAATAAAAGATATTTCATAATTCTCTTGTTTTCTAAATCTAGTTTTTTATTTGAGTATCTATTTAAAAACATTATTATGGTGTYAAATAAATGCTGTGTAAATGGGTGTCACGAAAGTTCCAAAACAAAATTTGGCGTCCCTATTAAAGATATTGCTGTATGGGAAAAATCYTTAGGTACACAACTGACCAGTGTCTCTAGAGTGTGTGCTAAACATTTTAAAAATAACGACATAATTAATACTTGGGTGTCTGGCAGTGGCAACAATAAATACTCTGTAAGTTTTTAAAGAGCTTAAATAAATTGTTTTATTAAGGGTTAAGTATATTTTTTTATATATTTGTGACTAGATTTGTTTAAAAAGACCAAGGCTGAAAACTGGAGCTGTACCAATTAATATAATTACTGATCATGAGACAATACACATGGAAAACCAAAAGAGCAAAAAATTAAATAGGACTAAGAATTTAAAGATTTAGAGATCTTAAGATTTTTCTAAAAATGTTGATACATAAAAATCGAATTTAGGACTAGTAGTTTATGAGTTATAAGTATTTAAAGTTTAGACAAGCGGAGTAGTGGACAAACATTTTGCGGGGTAACCCCGTACCACTCCACTCTGCCAATCTAAACTTTAACTACAATGGAATGTAAACGGATTCTACAAAAGATCTGTTGATATAAGCCGAGTTCGTTATGGATTGCCCCACATTTTCAACCGCACGTTTTATTCTCAACAATCCAAGGTCAATCGAAGAAGCTCTCAATCAACATAACTCCGACAACATTCTTAAATTTTTCAAACAAATAGATATAAACAAAAAACTGTAAATATTAGAATA